TTTGAAAGTGCATTTTGTTTTTACCATCCCATAGGAATGTATGCCAACCTACTTGCAGACCTTCAATGAGATTACTTTGCAACTCAAAGTTTGAGAAACCACCCCAAGTGCCCTTCCGCCCAGTCCTCGCTTTTTAAGGCCACCTCTACGAATGGAGAGAGGAGGCAGAGGGGGGCTAGCCTCCCCCCCCTGCTGCATGTTTACCTGTGCATTTCTAAGGTGGGAGGGGTAGAGATAGGCGAGAGTGGTGCATCCGTGTGGAGCGGGTGCAAGAGGGATTGGGGGAGGCTCCATTGCACAGGCGCACCATGGTGCAATCCTCGCAGAGGCGGCTCACACCGCAGCCCCGGAAAGGGAGTCAGAAGTAAAGCCATTTATAAAAGCGTGAGAGGCACGATCTTGTGCAGTGACATCGCACTCACTGCGTAATGCAGCGCCAATTTCCAATCCCTGAAATGCAGGCCCAAGGACAGCCCCTTTCAGTCCCGCATCTCTTCTCCATGCACAGCACATGCAGTGTTGTATCAGAGGAGAAATGCAGGCAAAAGGCTCTTCTCTTCTTTCTCTGTCCCCCCTTTGTCTCCTCGGTCTGAACATGCTTGTATGCCTCCTGAATGAATGAGCGAGTGGGCAAAAAATCCTTCCAGTCTTTGGGACGTTAGACTGAATTTCACCCCTGCCGGAAGTGCTCAGCTGACTGGTGGCCAACAGAACCCCAGGCAGAATTGCGCCCTATAAGGGGGCCACCTCCAGCACTCTCTTCCACCTCCCTTGCCTCTTAGCATCCCCCTGCTGCCCCCTTGCCTCTTAGCGGTCCCCTGCCGCCCCCTTACCTCTTAGCGCCCCCCCCTAAGTCATTCCACTGCCCCTCAGGGGGTGGTACCACCCACCTTGGGAACCACTGGTCTAAGGGATCAACATATATCACTTGAGCATGAACTACATTTATAAAGCAATACATTCAGTTCATTTAATTTACAAACTCCACACAATTCAGTTCATTCACTGAAGAAACCTGCATAGGGCACAATTTTCAGCCATATCTCCACTGTAGAAGCCCTACAGCCGCAGGGGGGGGGGGAATCCTCACTTCCACATGGAACCTGGTTCCCAAAGAATTCCCATGGAATTGCATTCAAAGCCTTTTCAACTAAAACATTTTTTGGTGGCAGCACCATAATCCCCTACCCGATTTCAAAAATGTGCATGCGGAAGCCAAAAAAGTGTATCACGTTTTAGGTGGCAGGTGGTTCCAGCACGTGCTGCCACGTCAAAATGCTTTCCTTCCCAGTTCCACAGTGCAACTGCAGGGCTGTGTACCCTCCTCCTCTGCAGACTTGCCTTTTCTTTTCTCCTGGCCAGCACTGTCTGCCAGGGGAGGCAGGGAGAAAAGCGAGAGGGCAGCAGGGTTGTGCAAGGGCGCAGGAGCCGGATGCGGACACAGGGCAGGCAGATCAGAGGCAGCTGGCTGATTGCGGGCTTGCCAGCTCAGCTCCTGGCCCACGAGATGGATCTAGGTAGGGGGAATGCATGCTCATTTTTGCAATCGGGGAGGAAAAAGAGCATTTCAGGTGGCGGGCGGTTCCAGGCTGCTCTGCTATCCCTGCAGCTTGGAAATGCCTGTCACCTGAAATGCTTTTTTTTCCTTTCTGATTGCAAAAATGGCTTTTCTCAGGACACTACATTGGGAAGTTAAAAACCTGGAATGGGATACAATCAAGCTTCTGAGATCGCTTTGCTGCCTGCCACCCAAAAACGCTGTTACTGTGATCTCTGCTGCCTGGAACTGCCCGAGAAGGGGCAGGTGAAGAGATCACTGTAAAAGCATTTTTGGGTGGCAGCGCAGCGAGCCAAAGCCTTTGAATCAAGCCTGATTGTACCCCATTCCAGGTTTTTAACTCTCCAATCTAGTGTCCTGAGAAATCTAGTGTCTCTGAGGCACCTCTCATTTGCAGCAGCAGGAGGAGGAGGGCGGNGACTTGGTACTAAGGTAGCTTCAGAAGCTGCATTCAGCCATTAGAATCAGTTCAACCAATTCTGTGTTGTGAGTAAAAGTAGCTGGGGGTTTCCCATTTCCAGGAATTGTGGGGAGTCAAACTATGGATGCCTCTGTTAAGTTATAGTAACAGTTGCCCTATGGGCTGGTTGTCCCTTTGGAACTGAAGTTAGTTAGCTCTGAACTTGGCTCCCTTCTGAAAGAATCTGAAAATGGACATGTTTCAAAGGCCCTTAGGATTTGATGTTCTGCTTTTGTTTCTTGTTTGTTCCATTTTTTTTGTTTTTTAATTAGTTTAATGAGGCCATGGGTATTTTTGTGATTTATATATTTCTATAGTTTTATTGAAGGTCAACTTGGATTGTGGTAGGATATACTGTATATAATGCAAGGCAGTGCAATGCAATACAATATAGGTGTATTTTTACAGTCAGTAACATACAGGAAATCAGGTGTGTTTTTCAAATGGACATGTTTTTATGTTGCTATTCTTCTTCCCATGGAAAAGAACAGATTTTGTTTCCTCCTAACATTATAGCTAAAAAGATTTTTATTTCAGAAAGAGTATTGGTTTTAATTTATATTTGAATTAATTCATTTTATAAAGCATATAGGGAAAATACAATAAGATTGGAATATTTCTTTATTATTATGTACATATTTTATCAAATATATATTAAAATTTTCTTATATATTTACACTGTTGTCAGATATTAAGAAAAATAGTAACCTCTGAAAGCTGCATATTTTCAAGAGTTTTAGCAAACTACCACCTTCGAACATATTTTTATGCGTTCTTTAACATGAGCCAATGTCTAGTTAAAGCATTATTTTTACCCACCCGAACATAAAAGTTAGCTGAATCATTTGGCAAATTCTATAATACACAAACTATCAAAACTGCAGTAAAGGTTTGTCATGTTGGAACATGACATTTTGGATAGAAATCCCATTAAGCTAACATTAGTAGTGCATTTTAACATTTTAATCTATTCCCAGTGTTTAAATTATAAAACCATAGAATTTATATTTCATTTTAAATCTTTCCATTACAAAATTATCTTCATGGAAGTTTTTAAGATGTTTTTTGAAAGCATTATTGTGATCATATGCTAACTATTATATTCAGAAGAATTAAGCATTTAAATAATACAGGATAGCCATTACTCTGTTTCATTCTACAAAATCTAAGTACTGCTCCTTTTTGGTTTAAGGGACACCACCCAAATAATCCCTATAGGTAATGTTTTAATTCTTATAGCTTTGCAAAGAAAATGCTTCACTTCACTTTTATTTCA